ATTCACCTTAAATTGATCTATAGATTCACAGCAATTTCAATCAGATCCCAGTAGGGGCACACACATATGTTTATTTGTGTGTAACTTAAGCTGTCCATAAAATTTGTATGGAAATGAAAAGGGCAAAGAATAATAAGATAATCTTGAAGAACAATAAAATGTAAGGATTTAGGCAACAAAATATTAAGACTTTTTATAAAGGTACAGTAATTAAGACTATGAGATATTGATGCAAGAATAGACAAATAGCTTAATAGAATAGAATATAGTCCCCAAACAAGCATGCATTTATGCAAAGATAACACTGTGTGGTAGTAGTAATTAGCGTGATCTTTTCAATAAATGGGGCTGAATCAAATGAATATCTATAGAGAAAAAAACGAATCTTAATTCCTACTTTACACCATACTCAAAAATGAATTTGAAGTAGAGCATACATCTAAGTCTGAAAAGTAAAACAATGAAGCTTCTAAAAGATAAAATAGAATATCTGCAAATTCTTGGGATAGACAAGCTTTCTTAAACAGGAGTCAGAAAGCACTAACCATAAAATAAAAGATAGATAAATTGGTCCACACTAAAATTAAGACATTCTATTCATCAGAATATACTATATTGGAAGAAGATATCTATAGTAATACTTCTAACAAAGTAATAAATAATAAGTAATAAATAATGTCATAAATAATACTTATGACAAGTCTTACTCAGAATAAAGAAGAAAAAGATTGACATCTTGATGGGAAAATGAGCAAAAGAAATAAATGGACATTTCAGGATGAACAAGATGTACAAATAGCCTAAAAACATAGGAAAAAGTGCTCATCCTTTTTAGTCATCAGGGGAATATAAATTAAAACCACAATTAAATACCATTAGACACCCACCAGAAGTACAAAAATGGAAGACAGAAAATATCAAGTATTAGTGTAGATTTAGAGCAACTAGAATTCTCATCTAGTGGGAGTAAAAATTGGTACAACCACCTTGAAAAACTGCCAATATCTGCTGAAGCCAAACATACATAGACCCTATGACCCAGAGATTTCATGCCTAGGTATGACCTAAGAGATTGGCATGTGCATATGTACAAAAGAGACACACAAGAAAATTCCTAACAGTAATCATAATAGCTCCAAAATGGAAACAAAGCAAATGCCTGTCAGTAGAAGATTAGGTAAATAAAATGTGGGACAGTGAAAATGTACAAACTACTTTTATATTTAGTGACATGGATGAATGTGACAATATGGTATTGTCTGAAAGAATCCAGACACAAAGGCATATATACTCTGTTTCCATTTATGTGAAATTAAAAAGAGGCAAAACTAAACTGGTGTGAGAAGTCTAGATTGTGGTTTTCTTTGGAGAAGGGAGAGCCTAGTGATTGGGATCAACAGAGGGACTTGTGGAGTTCTGGTGGGGTTCCTGTGCTTGATCCAGTGATTTTGTGGTTGTGTTCTCTGTGCAAATTTATTGAGTTGTATACTTATGATTTGTGCACATATCTATATATAGGTTATACGTCAATTAATGGTTTATTTAATAACATGTAGCCAATAACAAAAATAATAATAATAATCAGTAATCAGTAAATATGCTGTGCTTCTTTGGCAAAGCCAGCATAATGCCTTTTTCTGAAATTCAGCTTCTGTGTGTTCCAATCTTGATATTATATTTTTCTCAAAGTGGTTAGCAGCAGGGTAGATTACTAAGTAAATTCTAACCCATTTTCATTTCCGAAGATTTGGTGTCAGCTGATCAGTCTACTGACACAATAAGTTGGGTTCTTCCTTATCTTTTGATGTGTATGTTTGATCTTTCCCTCTTTCCCCCTGTTGGATTATGCAGATTCCTCTGGGACTGAGGCTCAGCTCCCAGAGACCACACATCTCATCTCTTACTTGGGACCACTCTCAGAGGGCAGCTTTGTACAGAGAGCAGGAATCTTTGAATCCATCGTAGTTTTTCAATATAGAAGTTTTTAATATAGGAAAGTTAAGAAAGTAGAAGCGGTCATACCACTCATACACTAGTGCACGAAATGCTTTAATTTAATACTTGTCTGTACTCTCACAGCCTCCCACTTCTCTCTGTCCATCATACCATTTGAAAATAAGAACAAAGTTACAGAACTTATAATACGTGATTTGAAGACTTATAACACTATAGTAATCAAGACAGTATAATATTAGTGTAAAGACAGACAAACCAATTACTGGAACAAAATACTGCCCAGAAAAAACATACATATACAAGCAACATATTTTCAACCAAGGTGCCAAGACAGTTCAATGGGGAAAGGATAATCTTTTAAACAAATGATGCCAAAACAATTGAATATATCCACAGGCAAAAAGATGAACTTTGATCTTTATTTCCCACCATATACAAAAATCTACTTGAAGTGGATCATCTAAATGTAAGAGCTAAAACTGTAAAACTTCTGGATGAACACATAGGAGAAAATCTTAATAACCTTAAGTTTGTCAAAGACTTCTCTTTTTTTATTGTTTTTAATAATTTTTATTTTTTAATTACACGACATATAATATTAGTTTCAGGTGTACAACATAATGATTAGACATTTATATAACTTAACGAAGTAATCACCCCAATAAGTCTAGTACCCATCTGAGCCACCATATAGAGTTATTATAGTATCATTGACTATAAACCCTGTGCTGTACTTTACATCCCCGTGACTGTTTTTATAACTAGCAATTTGTACTTCTTAATTCCTTCACCTTTTTCAACCTTCCCACAACCCTCTCTCATCTAGCAACCATCGATTTGTTAGTGGGTGTTCTATCTATGGGTTTGTTTCTGTTTTGGGTGTTCATTTATTTTGCTTTTTAGATTCCCCATTAAGTGAAATCATATGGTCTTGATCTTTCTCTGACTTACTTCAGTTATCATAATACCCTCTAGATCCATCCATATTATCACAAATGACAAGATTTAATTACTTTTTATGGCTGAGTAATATCCCATTGTATATATGTACCACCTCTTCTTTATCCATTTGTCTGTTAATGGGCACGTTGGTTGCTTTCATATCTTGGCTACTGTAAATAACGCTGCAATGAACATGCGGATGCACATGTCTTTTCAAATTAGTGTTTTGGGTTTCTTGGATAAATACCCAGAAGTGGAATTGCTGGGTCCTTGTCTCTTGTTATAGCCTTTGTTTTAAAGTCTATTTTGTCTGGTATAAGTATTGCTTCCCTAATTGTTTGTTTGTTTGTTTGTTTGTTTGTTGCATTTGCATTTGCATTAAATATCTTTTTCCATCCGTTTCTTTTCAGTCTGTATGTGTCTTTACTTTCGATCTGAAGTGGGTCTCTTATAGGCATCATGTTTTCTAACCATTCAGCCACCTTATATCTTTTGATTAGAGCGTTTAATCTATTCACATTTAAAATGATTATTGATAGGTATGTAGTTATTGCCTTTTTATTATTCATATGTTTTTCCTTCTTTTTAAGTCTCTTTAACGTTTCTTGTAATAGTACTGGTTTGATGATGATGAACCCCATTAGCTTTTTTTTTGTCTGGGAAGATCTTTATCTGTCATTCGATTCTAGATGATAGCTTTGCTGGGTAGAGTAATCTTGGTTGTAGTTCCTTGCTTTTCATCACTCTGAATATTTCATGCCATTCCCTTCTGGCCTGAAATTTTTCTGGTGAGAAATCATCTGACAAAGGACTTGTTTATACATACATACATACATACATACATACATACATACATACATATATGTATATGTATATGTATATGTGTATATATAGAGAGAGAGAGAAACTCTTACAACTCAATAATAGGAATACAACTTAATTTTTAAATGGGCAAAAGATTTAAACAAAATGCTTCACAAAACATACAATTGGTTAATAAGCACCTGAAAAGATGCCAAATATCAGGGAAATTCAAACTAAAACCTCAATGAGGTGCTGCTGCACTCCTACTATGGCTAAAATGTGAAAGATTTAGCATCTCAGCATTGGCGAGGAAGCGGAGGAACTGGAAGTCTCACACACTGCTGGTGGGCTGTTCAGTGGTTCAGTCATTTTAGAAAAGTCAACCTACACGCAGCTTTCCACTCCTAGGTGCCCATCCAATGGAACACACAGTCCACTCTCAGACTCATACACACATGCTCATAGCAACTCTGTTTGTAAGAGCCAATAAGTTACTATATGATTGCACTTACATAAAATTCTAGGAAAATGCAAACTGATCTACATTTACCTGGGGGTAGGAGTAGGGTGGGAAGAAGGGGAGAGACATCGGGAAACTGGCGCTGATAGAGAAATTCACTGTCTTGATTCTGGTGATGGTTTCAGGGGTGTGTACATAAGTCAAAACTTGTCAAATTATACACTTTTAAATGTGTACATTTCATTGTGTGTCAATTATACCTCAGTAAAACTCTAAGAATAAAACACAGTCATTCTGTAAAGGAAACGTAAACATGACCTAGCTGCAAGTAGCACAACTAGTTAAATAATGTAAACACTGAATTTTCTTATCAAAATGTAATTATATTGGGGCAATGGAAAAATGTGTGGATGTGGTAGAGAGGAAGATGGGAGGACGGGGGGAATCCTCATCTTCCATAGTGGGATTTAATAGATAAAGTATAAGACTGAAAAAATTAGGGAGGATCAGCACAGGCGTGTTATTTAGAGACATAGAGGGAAATATGCCATGAATCAGCTCAAAGTTTGTACATGGAGGCTTTATAGAGTACCAGGCAGCTTTTGCTTTGAAGAGTTCCAGTAGTTAATCATTTGGGGGCCCCAACATTGGAATTTACGTGTTTAAAGTATGCTTAAATTGAAGGATGCCTGAATTCTTTTCATTAAGAGTCCCAAATATAGACATGCATTTGAGAAAACGTGATGCTTTGAAGATAATCCACATTCTCTCCTCCAAGCCACATGGGAAGTGTGGGCCTGATGACTTGGTAAGCCTGTTTTTCTTGTTCCTTTTCCAGGTGGTCACTTCTTTCATCGGACCTCTTTGTCCCCTCGAAGCCTGGTGTATGAGAGTGAATTCTCCACAATTGAACCTTCTTTGGACATGTATGATGAGAACAAAACCTGACTTTTTTTAAATGGGCTGTTGGGGGTCACCTCTTTTGTGATTTGATTTATGATCACCTTTCTTATTTTGTATTCTGTCAGCATCCGTTTTGGAAGAATGGCAGCGCTTTCTAAGCACAGGTTGGGGCTCGGGGTTAAAATGCAAAGTTCCCCTCAAGGCTTTGAGGACAGCATTATTGCCCAGGTGACCTGATGGCACCAAAAACGTGCCCAAAGCTGGCCACTGAACATGGGCCCCAACAAGCTTGGCTGTTTGCAGAGAAGAGGTAGGCCGGGGTTAATGTTACATTGCAAACATGTCTGAATAATCACATGCTATCTATGTCAGGGTGACGCTGGCATTTTTAAAATACCTTTGTGCTCCCCACTTACAATGTATACTAAAGCCTGCAGGCGTGCTTCTTACTGACATGGCACAAATTGCTGCTGTGTGGCCCGCTCTGTGTTTTCCTGTCTCTTATTCTACTTCCTGTTAAAGGGCCTCTTTCTAAAGGTTCCTAAGAGAAAGTCTCACCTTTTGTACCTCCTCTGAGACTGACCACCTAGAGCACCACAATGGGGCTGCAGGTGGGCTGAGCAAGACAGGCAGCCGTCCTCATTGTCATAGAGCATGATGTAAGGTGACATGTGTTTATGTGACCACCAAAACACTGAAGACCTTGTCCCTGAGGCCTATGGACCTCTCAGCTTGGCAGCTACTGTGGTGTATGGGGAGGTAGCACCCGGGAGGCCAGGCCAGTAATGATCTCAGGGTGACGGCCAGTGGGTGTCAAAATCAGAATGGAACCAAGTGCTTTCTTAAGAAGATTGAACCACCTCCTTGCAGTTAGACACCCAATAAGCACCCTCTTCGGACTTCACTGGTCCACCGACCTCGGCATCAACATGGAGAAGGCATGGGAGCTTACAGAAAAAGACATTGAGGCCCGCATAGGGCACATCTGGGACACACATGCTTTTCCCACACACTTGAGATGACATCAAGTTAACATCACAGGAAACGCGTATCGTAAGAGTATTTCCAACGTCGAACCATGATTAGCAAACTTATTAAACAAATCTAGGTGTCCCTTTCGGTGAAGGGCATGCACCACAGTTGAGCCTGCTTCACCTATCCACGTGAGCTACGCGGAGCTGCGAATGCGCTCAGACCCTCATATCCTTGTTATGAGAGTGGACACTTCGGTCCCCGTGTGCCTAGAGTCAGATCAGCAGCAAACCACGCGGACCCACATATCCCCTACCCTGCTGTTTTTATCGACTCTGTAGAAGTTTGAGGAGAGCACTTGCCATGTTTCCACATGCACTGGCTTCTTTTAACGACGTCTCTTCTCCTGATGTGTTGCTAAGATGCCTCAGACACCGTGTGCTCAGAACAAAAACCCTCAGAGAATCAAGGTGGTGGCAGCCTTGACAATTGTCTCCAGCAACATTTTGTTTTTAATTATTTGAGGCCAGAACAGTGCAGATTTTTAAGGTCTTAGCAGCTTTTTCTTTTTGCCTTTAACTGAGGGCTTTTGTTTGTTTCCTTTCTTATGGTCTTTGTACTATAAAAATATTTTTGATAAAAAACAGTTTCAAGAGAGCACTGTTCAGAGACAAGTTTGCCACTGGCTTTGCGGTGACAGAATGGAGTCAAGGAGATTAAACCTGATCTGCCGTGGGTGCCAGATGCCACCTGCGTTTGAGTTTGGTTTGGCTCATTCCCCAGGGAAGATGGCCGGTCTGGCCACATTGTCCTGATCACCACCTTGCTTTCCTGAACTAGAACTCGGATCCCAGCGCAGAGTTTTCTTCTGATTTGTGCAGTCTTACAAAAGCATATACATTAAATTTCACTCAAGACATTCCTTTACTGAAAAGAAAATAATAAGAAATGAAAACTCCGGGTACCTAAAAATCCACTTATTGATATAATATTTGAATTTCTGGTAAATCTAGGGTACATATTCCCTGTTGAGGCATTTCTTGTGGGCAGTTCACTCAGAATAGTGCTTCGGATCCCAGCTTGACACCCTTTTCCTGAGAATCGGGGCCACAGAATGTCTTGCCTTGTCAGCAGGGACAATAACTTCTCCATGAAGGTCATATACTTCTGGAATAGCACGAGTGGCGTGATTTGTCTCAAATAACAGCCTCTTTGCTGGCAGCTGTGCTGAGAGAAAACCTGCCAAGCCACCTAGGGACCCTGGCAGGGGACAGGACACCAGGGCTGCTTGCATGTGAGCTTCGCGAAGACACACTTCATCAGGGGCACCCCTGCCTCTGAGAATCTCAAGATATTATTGGCCATGCAAGCGTGGTTGGGGGTGCGGAGAGGCGTTTTTTTCTGCAATGTGTGAGCATCTCGGTTGCAAGTCTTATAGCCATGGTGATTATTACCCAGGAAATGTATGATAACCTTTGATCGTTTTGGAATTGAATGGGGGGACTATATAAAGAATGGAAGAGACAAAGGAGTGAGCTGCTTAGGCTACAGACCCTCTGTCCCTCCAGTGGCCTGCTCTGAGATGGGCTCTAGCCCCTCTGCCTGGCACAGTTCCACTTTGTCTCCAGGCCAGGCTGGGCACAGAACTGGCAGCATGCATCACAGGACACATGTAGAGTGGCAGCATGCATCACAGGAATTGGTCATGAGAGTTAAAATGCAAATGCCTACAATTTGGTGATTTTTAACTTCCTAAGGGAAGATCCTCCTTTCCTGTTATTTCAGGGAGAGAGGAGAAGCAGCTGGCAGGAAAACACCTAAGCCATCTGCAGTAGGGGGGCCAGGCTTGGGTGTCAGTGGGCTGCCTGCCCCTGCCCTCTAAGGGGAATACAAGCTCTACTACCAGATGGTTAAAAACACCTTTCAAAGTCTAGTGAACCCTGCTGTTTAAGAAAGGCTCCGTTCCCCTGCCCTTCCTCAGGCCTGCCTCAGAGAACATCTCCGAGGCACTTCCCTAAACCAGCTTGGACCCGGGGCCAAGCCCACACCTGCCACCTGCCCCAGTGCACGCAACAGCCCAGCTTCCAAAAGATGTGGTCGCCAAGTGTTTAAACAAAACAAGATTACTAAATTTAACTAACTTGACATTTCCTACGGGCTTTATAAGTTCTTCTCATGTTTTTATCACCCTTCACATCCAGTTCTTTCCTTAATCTACATGTTAAACAAAACTGGTTTTCACTGAAGAAAAATCAAACTGTTACCTTGCTGTTAACCTTCATTATTTCGGCAGTGGTTGCTATAGGAAAACAAGGAAATGATGTTAATGTCAGGTCACCTTGACAAGTGTTTGCTGCTGGAAAATGTCAAGAAACAAAATCACTGATTTCCAGGAAGTAGGATTTAGAAAGAAAATGGTAGGATTACACGGCTAACTTCATCAACAGACCTTTATTGCGTTCTCAGTATGCCAAACACATATACCGGAGTTAAGGTGAATCCAGTGATCATTAGGGTTTAGGCTGGTATAGAAAACTGGCACATTAATAACCAGCTTGAATGCAAGACCAGATGAAATGAAGGCGAGTGGTGAAAAGGGGGGTTTCCTAGGGCACAGATGGGGGTGCAGCACAGCATGCAGAGGCCGGGAAGGACTTGAGGTTGCTGGGAACGCGACACCTCCAGTGAAGACAAGCCAAGGGGGCATGAGACTGGCAAGGGTGTTGCTTTGCTGGAAACGCTCTGCTGTGGGGAGGATCTAAACCCCTGTTTAGAGGGGATGGGGCAGGAGAGGCACTCGCTGCCTGGTGCTGGGGCAGCCAGAGGGGCCACGCAGAGCCCAGGACATCACCGTTAAGCCGAGATGAGGATCTGACTGAAAGGGGAAAAGGAGGGAGCCATGAGGTTGAAGCGGAAACTCAGGCTGCTAGTCTTGGTGACCACTGGTGTTGGTGGGACCCAGGGACGTGTCCCTTGTTGGGGCACATTAGATCTCAGGGCTGGCAAGGCCCCTGGAAGGGGACATGGAGATGCAGCTCTGGGTCTGCAGCTGACAGTTGGTGAGGGCAAGGTGGTCCGGGTGTAGCCGCACTGTGCATCAGAATTCTGGGGAAGCTGTTTTAAATGTGCATGTCACCTAGACCTGCCAAAGTGGTCTCCATGTAACTGCAGTCCCTCGGTGACCCGATCTTCACCCGCTTCTCCTCCTCCTTCTCCTCTCTCTCTTACACACACAGAAGTATTACACAAGGTACACGCACTCTTCCACACACACACACTCGCTGGAGTTAGAATCTCCCAGAGTGAGTGTCCAGCCAGGTCTGGTGTTCCCTTAGTTCAGACGATGGTGGAAGCCAGAGTGGGCCCAGTGACATGAGACCAGGCTTGGGGTAAAGCCCTGGGAAGACTGCCGTTAGGTGCGGACAGAAGGAGCTGCTAACAGCAACCAATTTAGAAAAAGCACTGAGTGTCGCCTACTGAAGAAAGGCTGTGTTCACCTCACTGTGCTGCCTGAGGCCAACCGGCTGGCCCTCACCCACCCCTAGAAACAGTTTGGGATTAAACTCAGCATTTGCTCCCAACTCCACACATGAGTAAGGGACAGAATGACTGTTATGACACCCACAGCTTAAAAGCAGCATCTTCCTTGCTGTGGACAGTTGTTATAGGTGAGGTTCCTCTACTTTGCCTTTTCTTTTGGCCTCATTGGTAAATTTTTCAAAGTCCACGGATGAGTGTTGTGAGTACGTGTTCACACGACATCCGTGGATGTGGTTAAGATCCTGTCAGCAAGACTGGAAAATGCCTTCTGTATTTTAGGGATCGTAACATCAGAGAAAATGTAGACAGAGGGATACCGAGGTGGGGTGCCTGTGTTGCGCCTGCACGGAATTCTGTACTTCCTGCCCTGTGAAATGGCGGCCAAAGCAATGCGAGCAGAGCCCACGGGCTGCACCTTGGCAAGAAGTGCGGGATTCTGCACAGGCCATGTCCTCAACTGGCCCCTAGCGGCACTGGGGTCCCAGGTCCCCAACTCCAGCATCTTGAGGTCCAGATGAGGGGTGCTGAGGTGTGGTCAGAGCCCCCTCGTGGCTCTGGTGCTCCTCTGGGGTGCTGGTTGTGGGGAGGGGTGCCCTTTTTCTTAGGGGTGTCCTAGAAGATCAAAAAAAAACAGCCTCAAAGAAGAGAGACGGGTGGGTCCCCAGCAGACTTGAGATGAAGGCAGTCACCTGCATTTTCCAGAGCTGCATCCCACCAGCCTTCAAAGACCATGGAGGAGAAGGGGTACCATCAGCCTCGGCTGCTAAAAGCATACACATCTACACCCAAGATTTGTCTCTCATGGTCCCAAAAGGCCCTGTGGGGGCCCCCAGTCCCATGACCTGGTACTTAGCTGGGGTTTTCCCTCTTGCAGTTCACCCTAACTTAAGCCATTTCTTCTGTTTTCTTCCCTCTGGCTTGGGGAAGAGGAAGATACTTTATGACAAATGAAAAACATGAAAACTTTGAACTTCATGCAACTTGAGTATTAAACTTTCAGAAAGATTCAGTGCTGCTGGAATCACTCACGTCTCCATCTCTGCACTCCTAGCTCCCCCCACTGAGCCCTCAGCCTGAAAGGTGGAGGTTTCGCAGCCTGAACACACTGACTTTCTCAGATTCAGCAGCCTGGGAAAGCCCTGCCCATGCCGGAGGCAGCTGCCAGAGTGTGCATGCTCCAGCCGAGGTTGGCACTCCAGCTCAGTAGGAGGCACCTTCCTGAACCTTACACCTCCTCCTTCTGTGGAAAGGCTGAGGCCTGGAGGATGTCATGAGCACCCTTTGCTCAGCTGCCAGGGATACTGAGGTAGGGTGCCTATGCTACACCTGCACGGAATTCTGTCCTTCCTGCCCTGTGAAATGGTGGCCAAAGCCTCCTGGGACACAGAATCCCCTGGAACACAGCTCCCAGGGTCCTCGGTCCATTTAATGCTGAGCTGAAACAACTTGATGCTGACCAGTCCACTGCAGTTCACTTGGGCATGCCTGTCGGCTGGTGAGCCTGACCGACCTTCACCAGCTCCTTACCCCTCAGTGTTTATCACCCCCTCTCTCCAGCAATCTCTACAGCTACTGGCAACTGTCAAGAGGTACAGATGATTGTTCTGAGCTATTTTTTACAAATTTAACCCAACATAAAGTGAATTGGAACTTGCTTTCAGAATTATCCTTCATCCACAACTCAGTCCAAGTGTATTTACACTATGTGACATTAAAGGACTTTTCTAGTGACTGAGAGGTACTGAGCCAGTGGGGATAGGGTAGGCAGACTGTGAAGTTGCAGGCCTCAGGTGAGTAAGCTGTTCTCAAGCAGAAAGACTGACCACCTATTGACTGCCAGCATGCCATGTGGACCGGGTCACTGGGTGTGGCTGGTGCCAGGGTCTCAGCCCCTTTCCTGGTGTCCAGCCTGAAAGAACACATGCTGTCCTGGAGAGAAACAGAGAGAGCACTATGTCTGTTCGTCGCCCCACAGCCCAGACCTGGCCACAGACCCAGCTGAAGACCAGCAACTTTGGCCAATGCTTGGGGCCAGACTATGGTGTCTTAAGCTGAGAATGGGAAGCATGATCTGCTCTCAAGTGGCGATGGCGCTAAGGAAGCTGCCCCATGTGATTGCAGAAACAGGAAATGCTACTTGGGGTCTGCGGATCACCGTCACCTAAGAGAACAATTCTGATCCTGTATGAGAGGAGTCGGTCCAAACCCTAGGCCACATATTTCACAACTGTTTTTGACCCTCGGTAGTTTTTGTATTCACATCAAATATTAAAGTCACCCCTTTCGTATTTGGTTCATTCAAAGAGCTCCCCTTATTCTGGGTTCCTGCAGACTATGCACAACATCTCAGAGGATGGCATACAAACTATTTTTTTAACTACAGCAGAGGTGATATGGGGTGGGGGAGGCTGGGCTACACCTAAATGTGGCAAATGACTTACCTTCTACCTTGAGCGATGAAAGAGAATCTATGCACTTGAATTTTAATTCACCATTAGCTAGCTCGTGCCAGAAAGAACACACATCAAATATCCAAGAAGCAAAACTGATCATTAGCTTCATTTGGGGGCTCACTGTACGGGGAGTGACCTTGTCTAGAACATACACCTGCAAGTAGACCATGAGCTGATTTTTTATAAGCCCTTTCAAATGTTCTGGGCAGCACAACTCCTAGGCCCATATGGTTGATGTAAGTATAATTAAGTAGTGAAATTGTGTGGTATATACCTATATGCTGATAGTGTATACCTGTATTGTGGGATTTGCTAATATAACTGTTTCAATAAAACCCTATTGAAAAAGCTGCTTTGACCACATGGAATACTATTGGTGGTAACCTGTATCAGTGAGGACTCTTTTGGTTGCAAGTGACAGAAACCCCAACCAATACTGGCTTAAGCAAAAGGAGAAAGCAGTGGGTCACAAAAGCCAAAATACCAAGGGCATGCTTGTGTCAGGTATGGCCTGGTTTGGCCTCAAATACTGATACCCGGACACATTGCTAGTTTTGCTTCCTCCAGACTAACTCCAGTCTCGGTCTCAAGGTAGTAATAGCTGGTCTACTTCCCCAGGAGGTAACCCAGACCAGAATGGCATCTACTTGACCCTGACCAGCTGGGTGGGAGGAACATGGCCATCACCAAGCCAGCCACTGTGGTCACAGACATAGAATATACCAACGCCCAAGGCCAGTAAGGGTTCCACTTCTTCATCCCAGGAGTGCATTCAGCTTTACCTGAAAGACAGGAGCTGAGAGTCATAAGGTGTGGTTCCCACAGCAAAATCGTGCTGCTGCCCAGGAAGTAGTGAGTACTGGGGCAAGGAGCAGGTGTCTGATCCAGGTGGAAGAGAGTTGAAGCCAGAAGGGTCTGCACATGAGTACTACCTCTGCCACTTACTAGTATGAACTCAACAAGTCGTTTCACCTGTCCGGACTTAGGCTTTATTGTCTGTAAGATAGGGGTCATAAAATACCTACCTCACAGAGTTAACATGTGGGGATTAGATTTAAAATAATGTAAGATGTCTCATATCTGGAGTACATAAATAATTCTTACAACTCAACGATAAATAGACAACCCAATTTTAAAATGGGCAAGGGATATGAATACACATTTCTCCAAAGAAGATAAACAAATGACCATCAAGCACATGCAAAGATGCTTCAAATCATAAGTTATTAGGGAACTGCAAATCCAAACCACATGAGGTACCACTTCACACCCACTAGAGTGGCTATAGTAAAAAAGACAATAATTGTTGACGAGATACAGAAGAACTACAACCCTCACACATCACTGGTGGGAATGTGAAATGGTGTGGCTGCTTCAGAGAAGAGTTTGGTGGTTCTCTAAAAAGTTAACCGCTTTATCATATGACAGCAATTCCACTCTTAGGGACCTACCCAAGAGAACTGAAAACATGTCCACACAAAACTGATACATAAATGTTCACAGTAGCATTATTCACAACAGCCAAAAAAGGAGAAACAACACATATGTCCACCAACTGATGAACAGATCAACAAAACGTGGCCTATCCTTACAAAGGACTATTATTCAGCCAAAAAAAAGGAATGAAGCACTAATCTATGCATGGATGAAACTTAAACAGGTTACGGTAAGTAAAACAAGCTAGACACAAAGGCCACATACTGTATGGTTTCATTTACATGAAATGTACAGAATGGGCAAATCTATATAGTTGTTGCCAGAGGTGGAGGGGCATGGGAAGTGGGGAGTGACTGCTAATAGGTAAAGGGTTTCTCTTGTGGAGTGATGAAAACATTCTGGAATTAGTAGTGATGGTTGTACAACTTTGTGAATATACCAATAGTCACTGAATTGTGTACTTTCAAAGGGCGAATTGTATGGAATGTGAATTATATCTTAGAAAATGAAGGAAAAATGAAGTAGACTTTAACACATCCTAAGTGCTCAATAAATGTTTTTTCTTTTCCTTCCTGTAAAGAACAGTTCTCAAAAGGTGGCCTCCAGGCCAGCAGCATCAGCATCCCCTTGGAACTTGTTAGAAATACAAATACTCTTCGTGGGGCCCAGCCATCTGTATTTTAACAAGCCCTGCAGGTGATTCTGATGTTGCTCAAGTTTGAGAACCACTGGAATGGAGAAACCAAATAACCCATATCTCTTCTCAGGGTGTTAACAAGTACTTCCAAATTCTTGAGAGCATAAGAACATGTTATCAGTTTAAGCTTACAAAGTTTAAAGAAAACCGTACTCTATATTGAAAGTTGATTCAGAATCTCAAGCAACATTTTGGAAGACCTTTGATCACTCTGGCTGTCAACCACGAAAATGCCTGTTTATATCTACATCTATCATATTGGATTCTTGAATGCCAGTGACAGAAACCCAATTAGAAACCAGCTTAAGCTTCCCGGGGTGATTCTAAAGTGCCCCTTCCCTCTGCCCTCCCGCTGGATCCTGGCTGGCTCAGGCCCTCAGCATGATCTTGCATCTCAATTGGCATTCTGCATTCGCGCCCCAGACATTGTTACCAGCTGCCCCTTTCACGCAAAACAGTCAGTGTTTGGACTGGGAGGGGTCCAACCCTATAGGCCAGCACTGAGAGAGCAGGGACCAGCATCCCAGACTCACGTGCTGCCGCCACCCCACGCGCCTCCCCCGTGCCAGGGGAGAAACCTCCACTGGCTCCAGGGCCACCCAGCCTTAGTGTGACTGCACCGATTTCTGAGGATCCTGTCAGCCCCGGGATTTCTGACACGCTCCTCGGCTCCTGGAGGTCCGTCTAGCCTTAGGCCCGAGTGTCAAAATTGAGAATTATCACAATCGTCTAGGCCTTTTCCAGCCGCCTTTTGCAATGTTAACACGCACTGGTCGCACTGCACAATCCACCAAGAGCGTACTTCCAAACGCTATTTCTTTACGTTTCTCCCCAAAACCCTGGCCAGATTTTCACAAAACGGGGGTGGGGGTGAAGCAGGAGCAGGACCTCTCCTCCTTTCCACAACCAGTTCCTCTGGTCTGAGGACTTGGCCATTACAGGTAGAGCCCGTGGCCGGAGGCTGGGACCGTTCCTCCAGAGGCCGGGAGAGCGAGGGAGGCGGACACCACCAGCAGGCGTGGGGGCGGGGCCGGCGTGGACGGAGCCAGCCGGGAGCGCCGCGGGCCGGGGCCGGAGTGGGCGGGGCCTCCCGGGAGAG